TGCCTTTAGCCTCTTAAGATCAAATTATTTTAACAAAATTTCTTGACCTAAATTTAAGTCATAAAATATTTGACTCATGCCTGTAATCCTAGCTACTAAAAAGGCTGAGATCTGAGGATCGAGGTTCAAAGCCAGCCCAGGCAGGCAGGAAAGTCCTTAAGACTCTTACCTCCAATAAACCACCAGAAAACCAGAAGTGGTGCTGTGGTAAGTAGTAGAGCACTAGCCTTGAGCTGAAGAGCTGAGGGACAGGGCCCAGGCCCAGAGTTCAAGACCTACGATTGACAAAAAAAAAAAAGTCTGCGGGGGAGGGAGGGCTGGGAAGTTGGCATGCATGAGGCCCTAGGTTCTATTCCTCAGCACCATATAAGCAGAAAAAAGCTGGAAGTGGCGTTGTGGCTTAAGTGGTAGAGCTCTTGCCTTGAGCTGAAGAGCTAAGGGATGGCGCCCAGGCCCAGAGTTCAAGCCCCAAGGCGGAGCCCAAAAAAAAAAGTCTCTCAGGGACTTTTCTGCTTGGGCTGGCTTCAAACCACAATTCTCAGATCTCAGCCTCCTGAGTAGCTAAGATTACAGGTGTGAACTACTAACAACCAGCTAGTTTTTATACTCTAAAACAGTCATATTCATGATCTGTGATGATATTTAATTTCTGGCTGCCAGATAACTGGTTATTCCTTGTCAATAAAATGGGTGACCATTAAAGGTTAATCTTAGCTCAATCCTAACTGAGGAACTCAAAAGAAAACTCAGGAACAAAACCCAGAGAATTGAATGCATGCCGATTACTCCATACCTACACAACAAAATACAGACAAAATATTCAAATTTTGAGCCTCAACAAAATAACTTCAAAATATTAAGAAAAAATAGTAGCTTATTTATTTATTTAAAGACAAGATCTCACAATGTAGCTCAGGCTGGGATTAAACTCATGCTCCTACTGCCTCAGCTCCCAAGTACTGCAATTAAAGGCATGTACCACCATGCCTGACTCAAATGTTAATGCTGCATATTTAGCAGTACAAGTCAAACAATAGGGACACATATAACTGACATGGTTTCCCTCTCATACATAGAATTATAAGAAGATTATAGAAAAACCAGAGGCCTAACTATATGAGAAGGAAGCATCATTTTTTAAATATCTCATTTTGATTATTTCTTATGTCTAATTTTACTTTCACTGTGCTTATCATTAATAAGCCTTCTCATTTATTTCCTTTGATGTTCAGAAATCTTTAGAGGAGTAAAGTTGAGGAGCCTAGTGAGGAAAGAACAAGACAATAATAATTTTTCAAATTCTCAATTAATAGTCTTCATGCTGCCACTTTTATAACAAGGTTTCATGACAAGAGATTATATAATAAGATCCAATTAATATCACAAACAGCTATATTTTTAACTCAAGCCTTTGATTTTTAGATAGTGACATCTAAAGATCCTTGTGAAAGTAATAAAGTTTATGTCACAGCAATACTGATATGTGACAAGGCTTGACAATAGCATTGTGGACTGGTAGGCACCTGCAGTCCCAGCCTAATTGTGGGGGCTGAGGTGGAAGGGTCACTTGAGTCCAGCAACATAATGAGACATCTGTCCCAAAGGAAAACTCAGGGGTTTATGTGACTATAATAGTGGGGTGGGGGACAAAAAAATTGCCCTTCAATTAAAACCAGGCATCCCCTGCCCAGCTGACTGTGAAAAGTAAATCTTTCTTAGATCCAAGCTATGGGTAAGTAATAGAACTCCCACATGGAAAAGTTAGAGAGCTCTCTTGTCAAATGGCATTTAAGGTGTACATTTAAACACTTGAGGAAATAAACATTGGTGATAATACCCGCAATGTAGATATAGACCTAGAAAAAAAGAAAAACTGAGATTATTGCATCTTCCCAAACTGAAGTTTAAAATAATAATAGAATTTAGAAACTGAGGCTGGGGTTATGGCTCAATGATAAAGTGCTTGCCTAGCATGTACATAAGGTCCTAAGTTCAACTTCCAACAAAACACACACACACACACACACACACACACAGAGAGAGAGAGAGAGAGAGAGAGAGAGAGAACAGAATTTAAAAACTGTAAATGAAAAGGAGTATTTAGATCATACCCTATTAATTTTATTTAATTAAATTTATTTATTTATTTTTTTTGTTGGTCGTGGGGCTGAACTCTGGGCCTGGGCACTGAATATCAGCTCTTCAGATCAAGGTGAGTGCTCTACCACTTGAGCCACAGCGCCACTTCTGGTTTTTTCTGCTTATGTGGTACTGAGGAATCATACATGCAAGGCAAGCACTCTACCACTGAGCCACCTTCCCAGTCCCCTATTAATTTTAAAGTAAAACCATTTTGTGTATCAGTTATAATTGCAGTTATAATTTATCACTGTATCTGGTAAATACTAGCACTTCTATTTGTTTTATCAAGCCACCAAAAAGAAAAAGAAAGACAAAAGAAATCATTGTGTTTGAGAGCCAAAGTATTTCTCCACAAGCACAAAAATATAAAGCCAGTTTACAGGTCTAACACAGTAAAAGACAATGAAAATTCTACTGTCAAATAAAGGGTTGTAATATGCCAGCAAAGCTATCATAATTGGCCAGTTTATACACTTCAATTACCCTGAGATTGTTATGCTGAACAGGAATTTTCAGACGCTCCATTATACAAAACATCTTTAGACACTGAGCCCAGGAATAAAGTCTGGGTTTCTGCCAAGAATATTCCTTCTGGATACAATGACATAGCCTTTGTGTGACACAACAGCACACTCAACTTTCTTGCCAGTTTCATGTGCCTCCATCTTTTGCAGACTATGAATGAAAGCAGTCTGCTCTTGGAGGGTCTATTGATTCTTCTGAATAAACCAAAGGGAAAAGGGTAACAAGCTAATTGAAGAAAAACTTTTTTTGTTTTTGTTTTTTTTGTTTTTGGGTCCGGTCGTGGGCCTGAACTCTGGGCCTGGGTGCTGTCCCTCAGCTCTTCAGCTCAAGGCTAGTGCTCTACCACTTCAGCCACAGCGCCACTTCTGGCTTTTTTTCTTTTTGCTTATGTGGTGCTGGGGAATTGAACCCAGGGCCTCATGCATGCAAGGCAAGCACTCTACCACTTAGCCACCTTCCCAGACCCAAACTTTGTTTATTGTGATCCTATAATTAGAAAATAAAATTAGTAACTATGAACTTAAAAATAAAAATGACTAGACTGACCTCATATGGTTAAGTGCTTTTTGAGTCAAGGTCTTCCTATGTAGCCCAGGCTGGCCTCCAACTACAGCCATGTGCTATCACACCCAGCCTGGAGTCATATCTAAAGTACTTGGGTCCTCTCTGTATAGTCCTGCCTCCCTTTCGCCTCCCTTTCCCACCTTCCACTTAAGTTCCCACACCTTACAAAGCAAAGCTCCCCTTCTAGCAATGAAGACTTCAACAATGTAACTTGATCTTGCTATAATTTTTATTATGCCTTCTCTCAAATTTTTAGAAAAGAAATGTCAATCTTTTATGTAAAGTTCAGCAATATGCAGGTCTGCATGAAACAACACTAAAGGCTATTTTAAAAATTTACACTGATGACTTTGTCTTTTCTATTTTTTTCCTTGAGAAAGGATCATGCTAAGTAGCTCAAGCTAGCCTTGAATTCAACTATGCTTACCTCTCAGCTTCCCAAGTGTTAGGATTTAAGGTGTGGGCACCACACCTGCCAACTTTTTCTTTAACACAAGTACTGTATATATTGTTGAAAACAGACAGTATAGGGCACAAAACATGGATTTGAGTTGTTTTTAAAGAAATCTCTTATCAAAAATGCTAACACTGAGTGCTAAGAATTTCTAACAACATAACAAAACCAATCCTGTTCCAAAACAAAACATTGGTACCAGTAACAAGTAAAACTCTAGTAGTAACTTTAAATTTATACTTTCCTTCTTGACCTAAGATACAGAGTGAATTTAAAAAAATTAAAACAAACAACCAGTAACTAAAAGAAAAACTGGACGTTAGTGAAAAATGATGGACAATATGCTAATTAGCCTACTCAGCTTCAATTAGTTTAAAAGAGTCATTATTGAAATTCATTATATAAACTCTAATTGCATAAAATTTGAGAAAATACAAGAAAAAAAAGAAAGACCCAATCTTGTTTCTTTAACTTTTATATAATCTGTTAGGCAAACCAGTTTTTTCCAGATCTCACACGACGATACTGCAACCCATATTCTGCTGAAGTATTCAATTAGTATGGTTTAAATAAAATTGTAATGTATTTGTAGTATTAACTAAGTCAGATATGGAATTATTTTATTTAAAAGACTGACTTTGATTTTAAAAAACTACCTTAACCATTTGCAGTAAATTGTCTTCAAAATGCTTTGCTGTCTAGTTTTCTAGATGGACATTTATCAGGCACTATACTGAATTTGGTGTTAAATTATATTACTGTCTTTTATCTAAATAACTGAGAAATTGCACAATCTCAAGTAGCATCTTCTCTCTTTACGTCAAAAATCCACTCAACTACAATGTACCAATCAATCTGTCAAATTCAGAAATAATTAATTCAATTAAAAATATGTACCTTATTTTAAGAGCATTCTTAGCAGCTTTGATTTTAAAAACATCTCTGCCCCTATATACAGCTAATACTTCTGGCAAACTCAGTGGCTTCCAGGTATTTTCATTCCTATCACATTTTCCCCCCTATTAAAGCCAACACATTGTATTTGATTTCTTTTCTTCCTACTCATTGTTCAGATTAGCATTTTAATAATCTTTTAGGCAATGCTGTTCAAAGGAAACAAGGCCAGATGAAGCAAAACACGGCTCCCCTACACCCAATGTTTTTTTTCTTTCCTCCACAGTGAGATCATATTCCTAAGACCAGTTTACTTAAAAAAAAAAAATCATCCATGCGAAGCAGGCACCACCCTGGGTAAACAGCCACTAGAAAACTGGAAGCTTTAAAATAAAGCCGTTAAAAGCACTTCATTACACACCTTCTCTGCGAAGCCCTTTGTTCCCACTGAAAACCATACTGGAATCCTGGTGTAAAAGAAGTTGCCTGCCGCTGTCAGTAACCACACTGTCAGGCACTGAGGGATCCAGATGTCGGCAGGGGTGGGAGCAGAACGTGGGGCGTCGGGTCCCAGTCCCCCTCCCCGGGCTGGCGGTGGCTTTCACAAAGGCAGCAGAGTAGGGAGCACATAGCAACAGCACTCTCCGCTGATTGGACCGAGGGGCTCGGCCCCTGCGCGCCGGTCCACTCCGGCTTCCTGCCTACTTGGCAGCGCTGTCCTGCTTTCTTTGCTCCTCTGCCCAACTCAGCTGTGTGCAGGCAACTTGAAAGAACAGGAGGCTGACAATGACAACGTGGCCCTGCTGTAGCCCCGAAAATGCCAATTCGTTTTTTTCTTTTTTCAGAAGATGGCAATGCCTGGGATACATTTTATTTCTCTGAGTGTTTCACCTAACACTGAGGACAAAGAAGGGAGAGTGAAGGCAATCAGTTTATTCACATTTCAAGTCAATGGGGTTCTTCCTTTCAAGGAAAACTCCCTCCCCACCCCTAAAAAGGTGGAAACACAAACACTGAGAACAATCAGAATAAACCTATAGCTGTGGATAAAAACCAAAAAAAAAAAATCACAATTTCCTAAAAAGCACAACCAAAGAAACATTTAAAATGGGATAGGGCCTGAGCTACTCCCTCTTCAAGGTGAGACAGGGTTAACAGACTCAAAAAAGAAAAATAATTTGTTACTCCGTAAGCCCTCCCAGAACAAGACAACTAGGTATTCGTCTTGAAATGTCTCAACTATATGAACATGACATTACGCCTAAATTCATTTACTTTTCTTTATCTGAAAATCACCTGGGGATATAAAGGTATATATATATATTTCAGGTTTCAAGTACTGACTTCAGCGTTCCAGTACAGGATCCCCACAATCACTAACAACAGAAATCCCTCCTCAGTTCAGAAAGTTGTTAGAAGAGTCTACACAGGTAGAGGGGGATGAATGGGCACAAAGAATTAGAAATATCTCTCATTTCAGAAGTATTCCCTGTGAACACTACCCTCCATGGAGATAGTGGGTTTTAAACTTTGAAATTATGGGGCCTTTTATTTGCAGTCTCCCAACAGAATGCACTGTGAGCAGTACAGCCATGACTTCTGTACAGGAGAGGGCTGTGGGAGCAGGCCAAGGCTGTAGCAGACATACGCTGTTTATTACTGAGATCTTTGTTTATCTGGAGTGTCCAGGACGGGGGAGGGGCGACATGATGGAAATTCTGGCTACTGGAGCACCCCACGAGGACCATGAGACTATTTTTAAAACCAGCCACAAACAGCATTACAGTTTCATAACAACCCCAGAATCCACAAGATTACTACCTCTCAAGAAGCTTCTAGAATCCCTGGGCTCCTGCAGTACACAAGTAAATACAACCCGAAAGAGTTCAGTCTCATTATTACTTCAGGAATCTGACCACTGCAACAGAAGCTGTGGCTCAAGTGGTTGAGCACCAGCCTAGAGCGGAAAAAGCCAAGTGAGAACAGGAGACTCTTGAGTTCAAACCTCAGTGCTGACATGTGTGTATGTGCACACACACACACACACACACACACACACACACACACACAGAGTCGGATCTCTGACTCCCAATTAGTCAAAGTTTCTAGAATTCCTGGGCTTCTACTTGAACACAAATAAATACAACCTGGAAGAGTTCAATCTCATTATTACTTGAAAAATCTGATCATTGACTCCACAATCAGCCAAAGGGAAAACCCCTAAACCCCTTTGAGAAAGCACAAAATGGAGAGGTGTTTCTACCTGTAAGCTAGGTGGGTACTCAAAGAATAGCATCTAAGGAACAGCAAAGTTTTTGGTGTCAGGCCAAACAGTTCAAAACATGAAGCTGCTTTTTTAATAGTGGGACCACATATAAAATTTCTAAACCACCATGAGCTCCAGTTTCTTCATTTGTAAAACCTTCCCCAATTCAAGATTCATCTCAGGTTGGGAAGGTGGCTCAGTGGTCGAGCACTTGCCTTGCATGCATGAGGCCCTGGGTTCAATTCCTCAGCACACATAAGCAGAAAAAATCTGGAAGTGGTGCTGTGGCTCACGTGGTAGAGTGCTAGCCTTGAGCTGAAGAGCTGAGGGACAGCGCCCAGGCCCAGAGTTCAGGCCCCACAACCAAAAAAAAAGATTCATTTCATGCTCCTTATGCATTTCCCTTAGTCCTTGTCTTTGAGAACATGACTGGCTCTACCAGTCTTATCAACCTTGTAAGAGTTTTTAAAGCAGCGGTACCCAGTTTATCTAATTGCTTACCTAGTACTATTTATATCCTATACATTATTTAATTTGGTTTCACAAATATAGAAGAGAAGAGAGGTAAGTAATTATTTTTACTGCTCAAATAAGGAAAACAACCAACTCTAAGCTTTATTTTATTTTTTTGGTCTGGTCATGGGCCTGAACTCTGGGCCTGGTTACTGTCCCTCAGCTCTTCAGCTCAAGACTAGCACTCTACCACGTGAGCCACAGCACCACTTCTGGCTTTTTTTTTTCCTGCTTATGTGGTGCTGAGGAATTGAACCCAGGACCTCATGCATGCAAGGCAAGCGGCTCTACCACTGAGCCACCTTCCCAGCCCAGTTTATTTACTAAATGGTGAGTTTAAGGCCAGACTTCTCCATACAGTGAGACACTGTCTCAAACATCATCATCATCATCATCATCCAGTTGTTTTGATTTTCATCATCCAGTAGTTTTGATTTTAGTTATAATCTTTAAACTTTTTTTATGGGGGGGGCAAGTACCAGGGTTTGAACTCAGAGCTTAGTGCTTGCTAGGCTGGCATTCTAGCTCTTGAAGCCATGCTTGCCGCCCCTGCCTGTTTGTTCTGCTTTTGTGCTGGACTAGCACTTGATCTCAGGGTATCAGATTTCTGCTCAGCTTTTTGTTGCCCATGTCTGGTGCTCTGCCACTTGAGCCACATTTCTAGTTTGTCATTTTGCTGATTAACTAGGTGTGAGTCTCTTAAACTTTTGTGTCCATGCTGGTTTTGAACATTGATCCTCAAGTCTCAGTCTCCTGAGTAGGTGGGATTACAAGTATGAGCCCATTGATGCTGACTTTTTCTTAAATTTTTAAATTAAAGGCTGATATCAGCCAAGCACTGGTGGCTTACACAGGAACTACACAGGAGACTGCAATCTGAAGATCACAGTTTGAAGCCACGTCAGGCAGGAAAGTCATGAGAGACTTATCTTCAAATAACTACCCATAAGCTGAAAATAGGGCTGTGGCTCAGGTGGTAGAATGCTAGCCTTGAGTACAAAAGCTCATGGAACAGTGCCCAGGACTGATGTACCCACACACATGCACACACAGACACACACACAAGAAAAAACCAACTACTTCACAACTTAATCCAGAGACACTAAAGAAAACAGAAAGGGAAACTTAACCAGAAAGTAAAAGTCAGTTCTAGTCTTGCTTCTGGTCCTGGGTTTTACTAGTTACTTTGAAGATAAGAGTCTGGCGATCTTTTCTGTCTGGCCCTGGAACCGTGATCTTAGTCTCTTGAGTTACTAGGATTGCAAGAGGGAGCCACCAGCAGCTAACTTTCAAAAAGCATTGCATTCATAACCTAACTTAAGGAATTATAACCCCTTCATACAATGACTTAATAAGAACAATTTTTTTTTTCAGTTGGTCGTGGAGCTTGAACTTGGGGCTTGGGCACTGTCCCTGAGCTCTTCAGCTTTGAGCCACAGTGCCACTTCCAGTTTTCTGATGAACTTTCCTGCCTGTGCTGGCTTTGAATGGTGATCCTCAGCCTCCTGAGTAGCTATGATTACAGGCATGAGCCACCGGCAACTGGCAAGAACAATTTTAAAATGAAAAAAAAAATTAAGACAGAACAGGAATACACTAAGCCATAAATTACACTAAGTTCTACCACATGCAGATTCTAACCATCATATTTCTGAGATGATTACTCAGTGATGTTTTTATCTGGACAAGGTACAAATAAGCCAAGCAGCCAAAGAACAGGCCCTAAAATACTGTGTTTTGAAGAGCTAAAACACATTCTTAATACCAAAATATTAAAAAGCACCTATGAGACCTAATTAGTGTTCTCATCTCTGAAAAGATTTTGGGTTATGATGACCTAAATTAGTTCAAGGAGTAGTGCCTTCAGAGCCTGTTTACAAAGCTAAGATCCTGGAAAGAAGAAAATGTTCTAGCCTGCTTTTTGGCATCATTTCTACTACATTGTTTAAAATGAGCTAGAATAGGAGTCATTTATAATCTAAGCTACTGCACAAACACTAATAATGTCCTCATACACATTAGTTACATTTAATAAGCAACAAGATCATGAATAGGAATTCAGTTTAATATCTTCTAATACCTAATCTTTATAAATTCATATCACCATATACTATATAAAATGTGTCAAAGTGCACATGGATCCACTCCTACTCATCTATCATAATGTTATTAATATCCTTCTATTATAAAGAGTGCTCTGTTCATGACAACCTTAAGCTAACCAACCATGACTTGATTAAGTTAATAAACTGATGTCTGCTGGGCACTGGTAGAGGCTGGGATCTGAGGATCAGGGTTCAAAGCCAACCCCGGCAGGAAAGTCTGTGAGACTCTTATCTCTAATTGTCTACCAAAAAAGCCTAACGTGGAGCTGTAGCTCAAGCGGTAGAGCACTAGCCTTGAGCACAAAAGCTTAGGGACAGCACCAAGGCCCTGAATTCAAGTCCAGGACCAGTAAAAAAAAATGTTTTACCAGAAGTTTTTCCATAGAGATGATGGGTCCTACATTTTTTTTTTTTTTGGTCAGTTGTGGGGTCTGATCACAGGGCCTGGGCTCTGTCCCTCAGCTCTTCAGCTCAAGGCTAGCACTCTACCACTTGAGCTACAGCACCACTTCTGGCTTCTTTACATTTATGTGGTGCTGAAGAGTCGAATCCAGAGCCTCACACATGTAAGGCAAGCACTCTACCACTGAGCCACCTTCCCAGCCCCAGGTCCTACATTTATGCCTCCTTTGATAATTACAAATTTGTGGAATAATATTTGGAAGATGAAGAACTGAGTCATAGAAATTA